ACCCAGGAATTCTTCGTCATATCATGGTTACAAGTCATACCCGATCGTCGGAAATCTACCTGGATTGGTAAAAAACCGTCACCGTGTACTTGAGTGGACGGTAGAGAATCTGTCCCGATACCCAACCCATACGTCTATTTTCCGGCGACCATGGAAGCAACAAATCGTCGAATCTAGCGAACGTCGAGTACATGCTCAAGACCAAATTCGAGTATTTCCCTAAAGGCGAGCAAATGATCTTGCTTCTTGACGATTTTCTTGGCCAGTGGGATATTCAACTCCGATGGTGGAAACAGAGGAAGACGGCGAGCTGCGAATTCAATACCAAATCTCTCCGTGACTTCGTTATGACCAACGTCACCGTCGAAATCAAAACTAGGTATACGCTCAACGTGATCAGTTTCAATCATTGGATTGGATGTATTTGATTGTTTTTTTTATGTTTGTTTAAATTACAAATTTCATGTTTTATTCCAACATACTCTCCCTCCCTTTCTATCATTTTAAATGATTTTTAAGAATTTTACACACAAATTAAGAAACTATTTAATTTTCTATTTTTCAACATAAAACCATCAATTCTAATACAATTTAACCAATAGAGTCAAAAACAACAAAAACATAATTAATTTTACTTTGAAAATTTAAAACATCATCTAATTTGAGACAAAAAAAAATTATTTAATATGATACGGATGGAGTATTAATTCTGAAAATTTGAAATCTGTTTTATGGGCATTTTTAGCTCATGGGCCTCGTATTGTACAGCAAGTTAATTCAACACCAACCTAAGTACCCAACACACACGATGATGTATTGAAAGATAGCCACGCGTAACAGACAAAACGTAAGAAGGATAAAAATACGACTTTTAAAATAGTTTCAAAATGACCATATATTATTAATTAGTTATAATGGTAATAATATACTTATCGAATTATAAAAGTCTCTATTTTAAAGTGTCGGTCCAACATTAACTACAATGAAGGACTAGCTTCGTATTTCATCGGAATCGGATGGTTAAAACCGGTCCGAGATAGTAAATTCCCAATGGCGGCAAGATCTCTACAGAAAACTCCTTGGTATGCGTTTGAATTTCTCGATTTTATCTCTGATAAATCGGTTATCTTAAACGAACCGGAGTTTTAACCGGTTCGTGTTCTTCAACCGTTTTAGTTGACTTTTGAGTCAATACCATCGTC